CTAACACATAATAATATGTGTAAATAATATGAAACTAACAAGAAAGTGTAACAAAACACTAGATTAACAAGAAAACTTACCAAAATACTAAGATTAAGCTTGAAGATTTTAATCCATTGAGGCTTGGAATTACTTTTGAGAGAGAAGGGAAGTTAACCGGAAGTAAAATGGAAAAAATGGTGGGATTTGTGGGATGGGCTTGTCCTTAAGATAAAGGAGTAAAATGATATAATGTTTACTTGGGTGATTAATGGATAAAAGCGTGGGATATTTTTGGGTATTGAACTGCATGGGAAATGGTTAAACTATCAATTCATAAAGTCAACACCCTTATCTCTTTATTCATCCGAAAAAACTTTGGGATGGACATTAAATGGGTGATTTCGGCCAAGCATGAACGAAATCACCTTATATACCACTAAGGTCCATGTGATTTCGGTCCTAGCTTCTACCTAGCTTGTGATTTCTGCCTTAGTGGGGACCTAGATTGGTGTTTTCGGCCTTAAGTGGTCCTAAGCAAACCGAAATCTCAAGGGGTGGGGTACTTAGGCCAAAAATTATAACACAATGTTTTAATTCCATGATTTATGTTCCAATCATTTAGCTTTACTTGCCCTTTAAGTGTTTACTATAAACATGATTTTCAAGGTATGCATATATACATACACCTATACGTATACAAATAATGCTCTTTTAACTTTCAATTGTTTTATTGCAACAAGGTTACGTTATGAATTCACTCGTACACGGTACATGGTTACATTTTAGACCCTGCTTGTTCCAAAAAATTTCGATCGCCACACTAAATCTAATTTAAGTGGGGGAGATTCATAACATCCTGTATTGAGTCGTTCTTAATTCGGGGAAGTGACCCTGTAACATCCGGTCCAAGTATGAATCACCTTTCATGTATTTTGTTTAAATGGTGTGGCCACGATGTTGTAGAGCATCACCACGACGTGGTGGAACATTTTGGATTTAATGATTTAGATGACCTGCCATGACGTGGCCTTGGATCACCACGACGTGGCAGGCATTTTAGTGAAAACCCTAATCGGGCATTGGACCCTATATAAGGAACATTAAAGTTAGGGTTTCAACCTCCATCTTCCTCTCAACCTCAAAAACCCTAACCCTTATTAAAGTTGTGAGCTCATTCTTGGTGCTTTTTGGTGATTTTATAAGGAGAAGGAAGCTCTTGGTAAGGTAGTTACTTGGAAAGCATCATTTCTTCAGCTAGCTTATCTCTTGGATCTTGGTGAGTGTCCAACACTCAAAATTTTCTTGCCATGCTACTAGATCTTTTGGTTTTTCCCCTTTTTCCATGTTTTGATGGATTTAAGTAATGAGGTCTCATAAATTTTGCAACTTTATGAATCTCCAGGTCAAGTAGAGCATTTAATGTCTTAGATCTAAATATAATCAAGTTTTAGATGGCATGCATGAGGTTTTGGTCATTAAACCCTATTTTTGACCTAAAATGGAAAAGTCGTGTGTTGGACATGCAAGTCCATGAAGTCATGACTTTTAAAGCCTCTTAGGAGTATGAAATCTTTCTGGAAACTTTAGAGGTGCAACTCTAAGGATTTGGTGCTTAATGAGAGTCTTGATGCATTAAGTTACCATTAGTGGTTAGGGTTGGGGCTTTGGCTTAGGATTATAGAGGGGTTTAAGAGATAAAAGTTAGAAACTTTACCCATCAAGACCATGGGAATAACCAGATATGAGCCTTGGATCCCTTGTAGTGGAAGGAAATGACTTAATAGTTTAAGATGTTCAGACTCATCACCATGGCGTGGTTGAGGTTGCCACGACATGGTGACTTGATCAAGACCCACTTGTTTTGTCAATTTGTAGCCATGACATGACGAATAGTTGGGTTAACTTTTGACTGTTGACTTTAATTAAGTTTGACCTAAGGGTATTTTAAGTTGTAGTCTGATTGTTGGTCACTATTACTTGTAAAGGTGACCGGTAGAGTTGGTTTTCGGAGCAACGTGTTGCCACAGCTATTTCGTCTGACTGTGAGGTGAGTCTCCTCATTGTACCTGTAGGTCGAAGGGACCAATGTCGGCCCACTAGAATATGTTATGTATAATGGTAGTTGTCTTTGTGATACTTGCATGAAAGACTAGGATCTGGTCCCTGGCATATATATATATATATATATATATATATATATATATATATATATATATATATATATATATATATATATATATAAAGACCAGGATCGGGCCCGTGGTAATTTGCATGTAAGACCGGGTTTTGGCCCTCTGTAGTGCAAGGAAAGACCAGTATCTGGCCCTTTGAAATTTGTATGTACGATCGGGATTTGGCCCTCATCATTGCAAGGAAAGACCGGCATCTAGCCCGTGGCAATTTGTATGTAAGACCGGGATTTGGCAATCGGCATTGCAAGGAAAGATCATGATTTGGCCCATGGCAGAAAGTGACTGTAAGAATATGATTCGGCCCATAGCATTCACTATCTTATGTATGGTATATGGTATTTTGGGAAACTCACTAACCTTTATGCTTACGGTTTATATTTATGGTTTCAGGTACTTCCGGTTCGAAAAGGAAGGGCTCGTCGTGACTGCACAACATCCCCTAAATTTTATTCTGCATTGGTAGTTTTTACTCTGATGTCTGAATACTATTTTTCTCTTGAATTGGTTTGGGAACAAATTGATGTATGAATTATTGTTTCTAAAATGAAAATTTACCTTGGATTTTTGGGACGTTACAAGTTGGTATCAGAACCTTGGTTTAAAGGGTTTGTGCACACTCTCAGGTGTGATTGAACTCAAACCGGGGAATCGGTAATCTTTTCAAAGAATACAAATTTCTAAAAAAATTTATATAGAGAAAGGGGGTGTAATGTGTGCAATCAGCCGAGCTCAAGTAAATGATTTCCTATAATACCATACATGTTGATATTTATATGATCCGAATGCTTGCATGTTAGGATAAGGCCGAGGATACTTTTAGGAATTATATGGTAGATTTTTCTGATATGTTATACCTCGTAGTCTAGGAGGATCGAATGTTATGCTAGATTTGGAATCTGTATTGGTAGAAGTGATTGCTAAGTGTATGTTGTAAAAATTGTATACGAGCAGGATCATATAGCCCTAGAATGACTAGCTTTATTTCTTGTTCCTAGTCTGGTTGTGGTCCTAGGGTAGAGTCTTTTATTCGACAGTCTATTTGATCATTTATTGTGCATAATTTGCATGCATAAGGCAACCAGAAGTGAAAGTATAAGTTCCTAGCATGGGTTATAGTAAATGAGCTTGGGATGTCTTTTGTTTTTTGTTCTAGTGTCGAAACGAAGTACTGGGGTGTTGCCAATGTATTTTTCGAGCCCTGCTAGCTCGGAAATATGTTCCTCGAGCTTCATGTTCCTCTTACCCAAGCCAAATTAGTTTATTGCGATATATTTTTGTAGTTTACCTTTCAAGCGACTACGTTCAGCATCAGCAGACCAAACACATCGAAATAGATATTCATTTGAAATATAAATCAATTAAAACAATCTCCTTACCTCAACATTTTGAAAATTAAAAACTACTTTTAGAAAATAAAGATAAAAATATAATTGAATAATAACAATGTCAAATAAAAAATATTTGATATGAAATAAATCAAATAATATAGATATGAGTTGTACAAAAAATATTGTTTTTTCTTGAACTCATTATTCCTATATAAAAGGTATTTTTAATTTTTATCATACTATTTTAAATTCTTATTGGTCACAATCGATTTAATTGTACACAAATAGATATTTAAACTAAATCATTTTGGTTGTGGTGATTTGGTAAGATATGTGGAAGATATGATGGATAATTTATTTATGTTGAAATCCTTATCCTACTCAGCCTCTATAACCATGGAGGTTCGTCTACAGTGACTCTAGGGCATGAGATATACCATCATGTTTGCAGCGGGTGATTTGTTGGTGCGCAAACGTTGGCCCGAAGCCCTTGTTAGGAAAGTTCCCTTTAAAAAAATTAGATCTTTAAACTAATTATTTTTCGCATAAAAATACCATTACTACCAGATTAACACCCAATAGCCCGTTACAATGGCATAGTTTGTTATCCATATAAGTCATAAATTCCAACATAAATATAAGAACTTGTGCAAGATATGTTTAGGAATGTGAATGACCAGCGTAAAACAGTCAAACAACAAATTTGATCAACAATCATATAGACAACTTTGAAACAAAGTTATGCAATCTGTATAGGTTTATAGCAATAATAAGATGAACATTCTGACCCGACTAAATTTTCATAAGATACTAAAAATTCATTTTAACTGATCAAAGAGAACCAGCTTCAAACAATAAAAGACATTCTTTTATGAACTTCTCAATGAAGGAAAAAAAAAAGGTTATCTATTTATACGAAGATGAAGTTTTACATAAAACCCCAACTATCAAATATCATAATCATGAAAATATGTAAGGAAGGGTATTGTGGGGTGATATTGAATGGCATAAACATTGTGCTTGCTTTAACTACCCTTGACCAAAAAGATTGTACCAAAAATGATGGTATGTAAGAAAGAAGCAAAGCATGCACAAGAAATGTGTGTGTGTGTGTGTGTGGCAACAAAGAGCTTCCAACACTTATGACTCATGTTCTCACCAAGAGACCAAATAATACTCATTCAATAGACCAAACCCACTAAGGACATTTTCCTCTCTTTTACTTGAACTTTTCACCCTTGAGCCATCACATAGTTTTATTTATTTATTTTAAAAAGAAAAAAGAAAAAAAAAAAAAGATTTTTGTTTGAACTTTTCACCTTTGAGCCATCACATAGTTTTCTAACATGATAGGCGAATGATATTTACTTGTGAAGTTTTATATTGTTATTTGTTTAAAAGTTGTTTCAAGTATAGACTTATAATAGTAATTTTTTATGGTAAAATATAAAACTTCCAAAGAAAATGAAGATAACTTTGTACGTAACAACAAATAGAATGACTAGTTTACCCACGACTACTATCCACCAAACTAACTAAAACAATTCAAATATAGTTGTATTGTGATGAAATTATATAAAATTGTAAATGGAAATACTTGATAAACATCCAAGGACCAAAGGGTAATTTTCCATAAATACTTTTGAATCTTCAATGGACACACCAAATCTGTTTATGAGCCTTTTTTGCCTCCTTTTTGAAAGCAACAAAAAAGAAGGCTACAACACAATGTCTAACAGCCAAACCATGATGGATGAAAAATCAAATGTAACATCTTTTTTGATGGATTTAGAAATTAGAAGTTTTGTTTTTGTTTTTCTTCTTCTTTAATGCCACTCAAGATTTGGGGTGGGGCCCACTTTCAAGGAGCTAGACCAGTCATCTTGCAAATTGGGCAAATATTTTTCTGAGACAGCCATTGTTTGATGCAATCTGTGTGGAAATCATGTCCACAATCCAAATTTCCGATATTGTCCCCGGTGTCGTACTCTTCCTGAAATACAAGAGCACACATAAAGAGGGGTAATTTCGGTAATTAATTGAAAATTTTGTTTTTTTTCTTGATTTATCAATTTAGTTTATTTACTTTTTCTAATTACACGTAACAAACAAAATGTTTAAATGAGTCGTTATATTCCACAATCACGTTTGGTTGACCATATTCTAAGTTTTCATAGTAATTTTTAAATTATACGTAAAAATGTAAATACAATATATGAATTTAAACATACTCTACAAAAATTTTATTTATAATTCAAGAGCATTTATCATAAAGTAAAAAATTAAACATAATACATAATCTTCATTTAAATACAAGTAATACTTTTTCTTTATCTTGGAAAAATAAAATTGAAATCTAATTAGAATTTTACATTCCATTATCATATTTTTTTCTTCATTAAAACATGTTTCTTATGCAGAATTAGAAAACTAAACGAATAAGATTTAAAAGTCAAAAAAGATCATTTACTACTTTAACACAAAGTCAAAAAAGATCATTTACGACTTTAACAAAAAAAAAATAATAATAGCATGAAATTTTAAAATAGAATAACAATCAAACTATATTTTTTAGAGAATAACGAAAAGTAAATTAACTATGGTGTGGAAATTTTAAAAGATATTATTGCTATTAAAGATTATACATACCCCTATAAACTTGTAGTTAGTTAACGCTAATATTAAAAATAAATAAATAAATAAATCTGAGATAAATTTCACCTGACATATGCAACATGGCTCTAAATTTTGATTAGAAATTGGCATAAAAGCAATGTGTTTTCTTTGTTTCATTGACTTTAAAATAACTTCCTCTCTTAGCCCTGTGTTCACATTTCCTATGCGTTCTTCCAATGCCAACAGTTCCTAAAATAAATTTATTTAAACAATATATATTTTTAAAAAAAAATTAATAATAATAATAATAAAACAAAACATCTAAATTCACCTCATAAGACATATTATCAACATCTAGCCTCATATCACGATGCCTATCATGCAACTCGGCTACCCCATTGATAAATGGATCAAAGAGCATGTAATCCTGGAATATAGCGCAAATAATATTTAATTATTAAATTGGAATAATAATTATTAATAATAATAATAATAAAATATTTGTAATTAATAAGAAAATATGAATAACGAATAGCCTGAAAAATAACATCAAACCTCAGCACGTAAATTTTCTCCCCTTCGCATTGCATGTAACACTTGCCTTATCTGTTAAAAAGACAAAACAAGATTTAATAATTACAAGAATGGTCCCTCTGGTATGCCAAAAACTGCAGGTTTTGTCTGAGTTTTAATTTTTTTTTTTTTTACATTTTTGTCCTTGAGTTTGGTTTTTTGTTTTGGAAATGGTTCCTCCCTCATGTCAAATTCAAATGACCTTTTTACCCTTATAGGAAAATAATAAATGGAGTAAATTACAAGAATTGTGTCTATTGTATACCAAAAATTGCAGGTTTAGTCCCAAGATTTAATTTGGTTACATTTTTGTTCTTAACTCTTCAGGTTTGTTTTTTTGTTTCAAAAATGGTACCTAACCCATGTCAAATGACCATTTTACCCTTCTACAAAAATAATAGAGTAGAATGGTATCAGCGATTGTTAACTCTTACGTTTGGTTTTTGTTTCAAAAAAGATCCCTAACCCATGTCAAATGACTATTCTACCCTCATACAAAAGTAAAAAAGAAAAAGAAATTACAAGAATCGTCCCTGTGGCATACCAAAAACTACAGGTTTGGTACAAGTCTTGATTTTTGTTACATTCTTGTCCTTAAATTTGGTTTTTTTATTTCGGAAATGACCTTTTTACCCTTACATGAAAATTAAGGAACACAAACCTCAGATACCAGTCTTTGTCTTCCTTCAATATCAGCAGCTAAAGCACGCCAATCATCACCAGATACCTCCATTGGAGACCTAGAAAAAGGTTGACCATGATGATGTCTTTGACTAGGAGCTCCAGATGAGATATGAGCATGAGCATCCTCTGATGTAGAAGAAGAAGAAGAAGAAGAAGACCCTGCAGGAAATGTAGCAAAATGACCTCTTTGCCCTCCAGACTGAGACTCACCAGATGGAAAAAGAGTCCATGGAGAAAAGTCAGACAATCTTTGTTGACTTTGCATTGTGGGGTTATTATGCTGTGTCCAAACAGTGGTGTTTCTGGAGCTGGATGGGGCCCCACTCCCACTTCCTGTAGCTAAGCTCCAATTAGTAGGATCTTGAACAATATTCCTATTCTCAGAAGATGGAACAAAATTATGATACTGGACATTATTGTTTCTTATCAAACTTCTGAAGTTTAATTCTGTCCCTCTTTCCAAAGGGTAATTTCCCAAACTCCCATTTCTTGATCCTATATTAATACCAAAAGGAAAATGACTTGTGTTGTTTCTTGGAAGCATTAAAGGGGGTTGCTGATTTGAAAGATTGTTTCTGGATGTTTGATCCAAAAACTCATTAATCAAGATTTGTCTGTTTGGACACCTAGGGGCGTTTCCGGAAGATAAATTATAAGGTACAGACCCCCGCATGCCAAAATGTGTTTGTGGGCTTTCTTCAACACTTGAAATTCTTGTGTTTGGGGATTCATTTCGGTTCATATTCATAACCAAGGGGTTGACTTGAGTTGAAGATATATTCAAACTTGAAGGCTGCCCGGACTGCCCGGGCTGCCCGGATGTAGTACCTTCTAGGGCTTTTCTTTTACCAGACTTGTAAACATCCATAAATCCCATACCATCATCATCAGTGTTGGAACCTCCATACCCTATGCTTAAATTTACGTTCATTGGAATATGATTGGATGCTAATGATGATGATGATGATGATGATGATGAATCAACATGACCACGATGATGTTGATGTTCTTGTGATCTTGTTTCATTGTTAGAAACATGATCTTGTAAAGTTGCTCTAGAGCTTGATTCTCCAACATCCCAGTTGCTAAAACTTCTAAAGTTATGATGAAGATTTGTATTATTCACATAACTGAAATTAAGCTCACTGGAAAGATCATTGTTTAATAATCGTCTTTCCATTGGAGATAACATGTTGTTCCAGTCATCTGATTCATCCATACTAGCATTATTGCTGGAATTGGACCCTTGGTTAAGGTCAACAGCTTCTGGGAAAGGGTCAAAGATACTCCTTTGACCTTGCATCAGGTCAAATAGATTAATTTGGTCAACCGTATTCCCGCTATGTGGTTCTGTTTGATACAATAGAAGCAAATCAAAATACATTAGATCACATTCTTTCAATGTCTTATCAAAAAAGAATACAAATTTGTAAGATAAAGTATTAAAGTAGACCAAATGCAGGTTAATAACAGAGAAAATGGTTAAAATTTTTGTCTTTTTAGTTCACTACATGAGTAAAATTCAAAGTTCTAATAAAAAGATACAATACTAACAAATTTGTGCATCTGCATTTTGAAATGTAAAACACCTGCAAATTTGAAGAACTGAAGAAGAATGAGCTCGGGATGCTTTTAAGCTTGAAACAGGATAAAGATCATACCTACTTGTTGTAAAAAGAGAGCTCCGCTTTGACCTAGTATGTCAAACAGATTGTTTTGTTCTTTCTATTATTATTTATAACTTTTGGGTAAACAATTGTTTAACTTTTATATAGCAAGAACTGAGAATATGCTAAAGTTTTATCAAATTGCATGAGTTTCAAATCAATTTGCGTTTAACTTAATGGTTACGAGATGATGGCTATTCCGGATGAATCCATGGAGCATGAACAAAAAATCGAAGATTGTAAAGAAATGTAAACGCAACTTGTGAATATCATCGGAACCCACTTGTTATTCACTTCCCGATAAAAAGGAAAAACCTAGACATCAAAATTGATAGATCCCCTCTTTCCATTCAAACGGATGATATTCAGATGCAAATAGAAAGATCAAAATGGATGATTTACTTGAAATTTGCACAAAAAGAAAAACATGATATTAAGATTAAGAGAAAAGTTTACCGATTGAGATGATAACGATGTTGGGAATTGGGGGCGTTTAGTCGGTGTGATGATGAAGAATAAGATACCGAGAAAATCGTTTCATGAGAGCATCAGAGGTCATTGCGATATGGCGTTTGGTTTGAGAATGGATAGACGAAAAGGGTAGAGAGAGAGAGAGAGAGAGAGAGAGAGAGAGAGAGTAGAAGAGTAAATTGGGTGTTAAATTTTCATGGGGAAGAAGAAGATTCGTATTTTGGTGGGTTTACGGTGAGATATGGAATATGCTGATACCAAAATGGCATGTTTGGCTGCAAAATTTTATTTCTTCACAATACATCCTCAAGCTTCCATTTCGTTGCAGAATTAGTCCCTCCAAGGCTCCAACTCACACTATTGAGAGTAGGGATGAGGTTTAAAATCGGAAAACCGGACCGGAACCGGAATATATAGAACCGGTTCCGGTTCCAGGTTTTAAATATGGTTTTATCCGAGTTCCGGATAATCTGGGTTTGGGTCCATCGGGTCCGGGCAAACTGGGTCTAAAAACCGGAACCGGTGTTAGGAATCGGAACCACTTTTAAGGGTCGGAACCAGTTTTTGTGAAACGCTTAAAACATACATATCTCATTTGTTTCAAGTCGGATTGACATACGGCTTTTCCAACGTGTAGTTTAGAGTTTGTACATGATTTTAGACTATAATTTTATTATTTTTTGTTCTATACACATTGACTTACAGTCCCCGAAAGTTGAGATATCAAAGCTGGAAGTTTTTAGTTTTTCAGTTTTTTGTATTCTGTGAAAGTTTTTAAAACATGCATATCTAATTTGTTTGAAGTCGGATTGATATGCGTTTTTTTCCAACTTGTGGTTTAGAGTTTGTACATGATTTTATACTATAATTTTGTCATTTTTGGTTTAATATTCAAGGACTTATAGCCCCCCAAAGTCGGGATATAAAAGCTGAAAATTTTCAATTTTTCAGTTATTTATTTTTGTACTTTAAATTATGTGAAAATGTTAACACATGCATATCTCATTCGTTTAAATTCAGATTGACATATGATTTTTTCGAAAGTGTAGTTTAGAGTTTGTACATGATTTTAGACTATAATTTTATCAATTTTGGTTTCATATTCAATGACTTACAGTCTCTCGAAGTTGAGATGTTAATATGAAAATTTTTAAAGTTCAACACACACAGTAGTAAGTAATTACCAAAAAAATTTAGGGTTTTTGGGTTTTCCGGTTCTAGACTCACTTTACCCGATACCAGAACCGGTTCCTATATATCGATCTGGTTTTCGGTTCTACAAAATCTTGTTAACCGGTTTCGGGTTTTCCATGTCCGGTTCCATCTGGTTTGGGTTTGGATCCACTTTCATCCTTAATTTAGAGTATTTTTTAACTTCTCCCATGTGCATCCGATACGAGAGTAAGCCCAAGGGGATGTTTGTTTTTCTAAAAACATTTTTTACCACTTCTTTTCGTGTCATGCATAACACATGCAAAACTTCATATATCGTTGTCATTTGTTTTTTAAAATACTTTTAACTTAAAAATTATTGCATGTATGATGTGTGGCACAACACTAAAGCTTCTGTTTTAAACCACTTCTCATCTTACTTTAAGTTATATTATTCAACATAGATTTGTTTTAATTTTTTTCAATGTGTTTATTATTTTAATAATATTATGAATGATATTATAGACAATTCAATTATATTTTACATAATCTTAAAACTATTTGGTAAATTTCATATAAATATATTTTTTTGTGTTACATTGTCAATAACCAAATATTAATAAATTATAAAGTTTATCACTAAAATTATCAAATTTATTGAAGTTAACCGAATAAATAATCTTCATCTTGGAAAATTTAACAAAATAAACATGTTGTTCATTAAATTAAAAATTTTATTTGTTGTTATTTAGCAATTATTATGTTTAATTATTTTATATAAACGTATTTAAAAATCATATCATCGCAATGATTTTATATTTTATTTGCACATGATTAAAACTAAATAAAATTTTGATTTAGAATTATTTATAATTATTGCATGGTTAATTTCAGTTTATTTCAACAGTTTGCGGATGTTAAAAAAACAAACAGACTTCTTATTGCTTATTGCAAACGTTTAGTCTACCTATTCTGCTGCAAAGGATTGTAGATATAGTCCATAGACTACAACATTTTAACTTCAAAAAAAAAAACAAATAACACCTAAATATGTTATCTCCCTTTCATCTCTCTTATGCGATATAACTAATAGGATGTTTTATGCATTATGGTAAATTTATTAATTTTATATTTTCAACATAATTATACAGGAATTATTTATGTATATTGTCTTATATATGGATTATTATTGTACTTTTATTTTTACACAAAGACCATTTTCATGATTTTGCTATGATCCATAGATAATTTTTGAAATTTTATTTTACATAGGGATAATTTTAGCAATGTTATCAAATTTGAGGATTGTTAGTCCATTACATAATTAATCAGGGACTATTTCCATAATTATGTCATACTTAGAACCATTACATATTACTTTTACATAGATGTTAATTTTGTAATTTTATAATTTTATAATTTTATCATAATCGAAATTGAGCAATCTAACCATTATAAACAAACATTTTAACAAAAATATCAAACAATTTTTTTCTGGAAAAGTAACCACTTGATCCGGAATACCACATTTCGGAGCATGATGTTTTGTTCCGAAGGTGTGCTCCGTAACACGATTCCGGAGTATTTATGATATTTTTCCGCAGGGGTTGCTGGTTGGTGGGGATGAGGTCCGAAATCTGACACTTTGTTCCTTCGGGAATGGAAAAGTGTATTACATATGTCAGTTCGGAACGGTCGTACATTCCGAAGTGGCGTTCCGGAGAGATGGAATTAGAGTTTTTATATGTTTTTCTTCCAAATATGCAATACATTTGTGTTTTTAATATATTTGTGTGTTTAATACTTTCGAAAAACGTTCCGGAATAAGTACGTATACGGGTTTTTTTCCGAGTTCCAGTATCTAGTGGAGGGCAATGGCAGCATATCGACAGATGTATACAGTATCTTGCTCCGGATTACACATGCTTTGGTGTAGATATAACCAATGATATCAAATTCGTTGGGTTAGTTACGTTGGTTACTTCCAAGTCCAGGTTACACACAAATCAATAAGTATTGTTTTCTAAGAAGTTTAGCTGATTTCTGAATACGTGTCAATGCTAGTGGAAGCATAAATGTTATGTTGGAATGGATATAATCATCATGTTAGTGGGAGCATGATTATTTTATTAAGTGTTGCAAGTTAGCAATATTAATTATAGAAAACAAAAGGTTTCACTTTGTAAAGTTGCAGGATTGAAAAGTTGTTTTGCTATAATTAAGGGGAGAGAATGTTATACTTTGTTTCAAAATATAAAAGCTTAGATCGAGAAATTTTAATCAAATTTAGTCAAGGATATATTAATTGCGTTATCAAAATTCGATTATGATTACGGCATCCCTCTTCATAGTTCGAATTGTGAGAACGTGGCAAATAGAAATATCATAACAAATGGCTGATAAAGTATCATGTTTTTATGTAAGACATTATGAATCGTGTCCCATACGCTTCTGGTATAGGATCGATTGCATATGCTGTAATATTTGACTGTTCTAAAATTTTCCAAATGCCTAGGATATTAAGAGGGAAAAAGAACAAGAACCGGATTTGACTGAAATAATTAAACAACTGTCAAGAACAATCTAAGGTTCGCCAAGGATTGGTCGCTTGTGAGCAGTTGGAAGTATAGTAATGGATGGACCATATTGACGTTATTGTGAATAGATAAAATTCTATCTAAAATGAGTTGTCATATGGAAAATATGGAAATGTTTCCTTATTAGGAGTTGGACGTTAAGAATTTATGTCTAGATTAGAAACTTTTATGCAAGAAGGATGTTCAAAGGAATATACTTTGAATGTGAGACTTCACATCTATAGGATTGTCTTGTAACAATCTCTAATAGAGTATTTTGTAATTTCATTGGCAAAGTCTTGGTGACTTTGGCGATGTGGCATTACGAAATGATTGATGGGTTTTGAGCATCCTAACACTCCTATGATGTACATGCAACCCTAGAAACCTTGGATCTATGTTTGACTAAGATACATGCAAATAATTATTTCTCCAAG